TAGATTTACCCCAGGACTTTTGCTTTTTTGCAGTACCAGGGCTCAAACTAGGGACCTTGCGCTTACCAGGCAGGTGCTTATGCTGCTGGGCTATCTCCCCAGCAGGCCCAGTAATTATTTTAAAGATTGTGGAACCCTACTGGTACTGTCAGCAGTCCTAATTTGAGAGATGATGATATACCTCCTTCCTAGGTTAACCTACTTGTAGATTAAGGGTTAATAAAACAAAATCTTATTACCTCACTGGGACCATCTAACTAATGATTTCTTACCTTTTATTATAGTCCAAATTCTCAAAAAAAAATAGTATAAATTCTCTGAGAGAGCCCTTATCTTTTTATAAATACCTGGTTTTATTTGCAGAAAGCTCTTAGAACTGGAAGTACAGAAAGAGCAAATCCTTGCTCAGATAGATTTTACAAAGAAACAAACAAAGAGAACTGAAGAGCTACTGGATCATTTGAGGTAAAGAAGTCAAATGTTATTAGTTTATTTTTTTTAAGCAGAATACAAAATAATGACAATATAAAAAATTAGAAATGATACAGAATTTTACTAAACAAAATAACATGAATTTGACAGTAGTTATTGTATTGCATGGTGTTGTCTTCAAGTTAGTTGCTAGATTACTAGATATATGCATGCAAAATTAGAAGAAAAAAAGTGATAAGAAATTAAGAAGTGAAAAGAAATTTTAAGCATAAATTGCTTCTTTCCATAGACCAGTAGAAATCAGCAGTACAATTATCCAAGCTGTCCTGCATGCATACATACATAGATATATCTTTTTGCCCCCGCTTCTCATCTCAGTAATTCCTCCTCTTTGAACAGATTCATTCCCTTTTCACAGTAGCTACTGTACTGTTCAGATTTTGTTTGTTCGTTTAGGTTCTCATACTAGCAAGACAATATGATGTTTGCCCATGTAGGTCTGATTTATTTCACTTAAATGGTGAAATATGTAAGGTCTCTAGTTGCATCCATTTACCAATAAAAGCCTCAAATTTATCCTTCTTTATAGCTGAGTAGTACTCCATTGTGTAAAAGTATCATATCTTCTTTATCCATTCCTCAGTTGATGGGCATTTGAGTTGTTTTCAAGAATTAGTTGGGCTATAAACATGGATGCACATATATTGCTGT